TCCTGGGCAGGCTCAGAAGAAGAAGGTGGAATGACAAAGTTGCCCGAACCAGTCCCGTCCGCGCCAGGGCTGCAAAAATGAGGAAAGCATGAGCATGCCTCAGAGTTTTCCAAGTAAGAGCCCGTCAAACTTACAAGGCTGCGAGTGGAATCAAAAAAGCACACCAGAATATAAGGCCCTGCCTGTTAGCTTAAGTGAGAGCTACATGGCCGGTCCACAGGGTATGCAGAACGAAAGGACCGTGCTGCACCATGAAGAACAAGTCATATTTCCCAGACGTGGGCGCGCACTGATCTTCCAAACTGGTTCCGATGCCTATCATCAAACCAGGTTTCACTGGCCATCTAAGGCAAAAGCATAGAATTTAAAAATGATATGCCCAATGAATGAACGGATGCGTCCGTCTCTGAAACCAAGAATTATGGGAAACTATTTCTGCATAACGTCACCCTAAGCGATTGCTGTCCGACGAAGCGCGTTCCACTGCGCCTGTCGGACAACGGGGTGGGGGAGGGGCTGTGATTAACTCACACCGGTTACATTTAATGAGGGCCAACGACTCTGACAAAAGTCAAGTCAATTCAGACTGTCACAAACTCAGATAGGCTTCTCCCAACGAGAAAAAATAACCTGTGGCATCTAAATTGGCCGGACACGTGTAATAGACGTGGACAACAAGTAGGCAACTTGTCAGTATATGGTGAGAACGCGAAAAGACCTAGTGTACGGGCTTTTCACTATGATAAATATGACCAGATTAAATGTCCCATAAAGAGTTGAAAGTAGTGAATGGATGGGCTAACTCTATTTTCCTCTGGCTTAATGTCCTTTTGTTTTTGCATCTGCATAGACCAGCGTATTTGTGACGATTTCACTTCCGCATCAGACATCTAATGGGCTCGGATGGTAGCCTGATCACGGGAGGGGGGAAGTGAGTGAAGTCGATAGCTCAGCGCACTTTCCTCACTATAGGGATAGGGGTAAAGTAAGGATAGGTACGCCTTAGAGTCTAGCGCAAGACCACCCGTAGTGAGGAGGGGTCCGTATTC